TTTTCACACACACCAGTGTGTGTGACAACTGATAGGACTTTAACTTTAACATATGCCACCTGAACTTGCTCTGCTTCACTTGAATAATAACATACAGATAAGATTTGCTGCAGATTTGAATATTCATACAGATGCTGGCAGACTAATTTTTCTTCTTCTAATGAGAATGCTCAGCATAACTTGCTCCAGGTTATATTGGCCCTCTGCAAACTACCTTTGTAGTTTTTTGTTGATTTGTGGACTATGAAATAAACAATATGAGAAGATGTTTAGTGCATGAAGTAAAGCAAGGTGATAACCATTTAGTGCAGGGGTGTCAAACTCAAATTCACACGGGGCCGAAATGAAAATCTGGGCCAAACTTAATATTTTTTGAAAAAGTGATGGAAAATTTGCACATTTTCTTCATCAACATATATGCAATTTTGAACCTTTTAATTTGGAAACAAACTTATTTTTGCATTAACACTGAATGTGGAATAACCAAATTACACACAAGCAAGTCAATTTTAAATAAAATGCATCAGTTTATTACTTGTGGTATATTCAGCAATTTTTAAAATCTATTCAGGATTTATGTTTTCTTGTTGTTTATTCGTTTTCTTATTTTTTATTCTCCTTTTTTTCTCCTGTAATAAGTGTCATCGCTGCAGTGACGTCTAGCTTTCCCCACTGAGGAACAATAAAGGGATTTTCTATTCTATTCATCTATCTGCAGCCTTTCCAGTTCCTGTTTTATTGTAGGTTAAATCTTTTCTCACGGGCGGCCCGTGAGACATTTGACATGCTTGTTTTTTTTAGCGGAGGCGGTCAGATTATTGGTGGGGACTATTTAGTCATCCCTGGATATTGGTAGGGACATGTAACTTCCATCCATGCCAAATCTACGCCCTTGACGGGCCAACAACAAAATAAAAATATAATTTTATCTTAAATGAAAATGCAATATTTAAACTGTTAACTTTCATGTTTTGGAGCAGAAAAAGAGCAAAAACTAAAATATTTAAAGCTCAGTTTGCTCCACTGGTTTACTGTGATGCTCACCTGTTCCAGCCAGATACCTGCATCATGGGTTTGATCTGAGCTGAGGAGGAGACTCCTGTTGTTTTGTTCATGTTCATCATAATAATGCCAACATTAGATGACAACAGGTGCTCACATAGGTTTGTGCTGGTGAACATGGAGAACGCCTAAGCAGCTTGACCACACTGTTGTGTGTCGGGGAGGAAAAATAAAAACTACAGCAGCCACAGAGTCATGCTGATTTGAGCATGTCGTTGCTTGCTGGAGTTATATCAGCTCTGTCAACTAAATAGTTGGAAAAACTTTCTCTTTCAGTCGTGAACACATTACTGAGCGGTTAAAATCTCCGTTTCTGGGCTTCAACGTCGGCAAATAGCTGAGTAAACTCGGCGCTGAGTGAGAGGAGTGTTTAGTTTGTCCGAGACAGCTGAGCTGCAGACACCGGCAGCAGACGCTGGTAAAAACACAAAGTAGGGTGCGCTTTGGCTCAGCGCTAATGCCGCAAAGCATCATGGGAGTTGTAGTCTTTGCGGTAAAATCGGCCAGCGGATCAGCTTTAATACATTTTTGATATTTATCTCGTGGGCCACATAAAAATGCTCCGCGGGCCTTGTGTCTGACACATGTGATTTAGAGTTTACTGGTAAACCAGCTAGTATAAAAAACAGCCAACGGTGGGTGGTACAGTTTGGCAGAGGGATAAAATGATGTGCACCAATGAAATCCAACAGTAATCCCTAAAACATACATCCAGTGACTTTTAATTTAGACATCAAAGCTTGTTGATGAAAAGCGATGTAAAGGAGAGTTTAGGTATCTCAGGCCTTGTTCACAAGAAGGGAGATTGGAGCAGCTTATCGACAGGTGGTTCAGGCAGAGCCGGATTAAATAAATGGACTACACTAGGCAGGCTGCATTTTTAGCCCCCCCCCATCGATGTTATGTAATGAATTGAAATCTGAAACTTACAAAATTTACTTATAAAAGTTTATTCACATTTTACATAGCCTAGTTTTTGGTTACAAATTGGTTGTTTGTATGCCAAAATAAGTCATGTGTTTTAGGCTGTTGCCTCTGCTGAATCAGAAATTCTGTCAATTTTCTGAGTGTGAACTTATTGTTTTGCTATTTGAACATTAATAAAATTATTTGACAAATAATTAATAAAACCAGCAACACTTACCAAGGAAACCATTTAGCATTATCTACTCCGGGATAATCTTCTGCTTTCCAGCATCACAGGGCCTCAATCACAGCAGAAACACGTCTAAAGAAATGTTCCTTGGTTAAGCTTCAGTCTATGTCTCCAGATTTCCTCTGTGATGCAGAAGAATGTCCAATATTTTGAGAGGGATAGTTTAGTGCAAAGTACTCATCAGTTTGGTACCACTTTGCAGGATCAGATGGGTAGCTAGTTGTTAATACCCTGTCTGGGTCTAGAGGCTCCTGTAAGACTATATTGGGCTCACTTCTGGCTGGCTGCTGTTCTTCCAGTTTGTCCTTCTGTGAAGGCGCTGATGTTGATGGCGTTGGCGCTACAGCGTCTTCCGCCGCATCTTCCACCATGTCTTCGGGTCGTGTCTCCTCCGGGTCTGACTTGGGCCCGGCCTCTGGCTCTGCTGACTCGAGCATGTTCACAGCTGTCGGACGGCTGCCCGAGCAGCTCGACAGAAACTTTTGTAAAGCCCCCCGCTGTCTCTTCTTTAGTTCCTCTTCATTTTTTTTTTTTTTTTTACGTTTTGCCACACCCGAAAGCATCGTGAACGTTAGCCTACTCAAAAACACCTGCTAGCTTTGTTGTGTCCCGCTCTGACTCTGACCGCTTCTCTGACGTCCTTAATTGGGTGGCGCCTTAACCCTCTGGGGTCCAGGGTGTAATTTGCCGTGAGTTTTCCTTTGTATTTCCAAAATAAAAACCATAACCACTGCCTTATGTGGTATCAATCTTTTCAGCACAACCTGGACTTTATGAATCTATACTTATTTTTTTATATTTGGACATAAAGGGGTTGCATATTAGACCTTAAATCACTCAAAAACATAAAATCTGAATAGGAAAAAAGTTGTTTATTTTACTGTGAAACCAACAAACATTTATGACGAATGTTTTTTATCATTTAGACTGGTAATCTAGACTGTACATTTATGAAAAATATGACTAAATATAGCAAATAACTAATTAAAAAAATTATTAGCTCTCTGGGATCCAGAGTGTAAATCACCGTTTTTGACTCATTTTGGTTTTTCTTTTGTATTTTCTAATAAAAACAATAAATATTGCCTTATGGGGTATCATTAATTTCAGGACAACCTGGACTATCTGAATTTATACTTATTTTATTAATTTGGCAATAATGTACATGGATTTTGGAGAGAGAAGAGTGGCTCCGTCTACGCCGAGATCTGACAGCTGCGCGGCGCCGCCCACTCCTCTTGTTGGATCTCTGAGGAGCTGGATCTCTGCCTTCATCCTCTACCTCATCATGACCCAACTCTTCTATGAGGAAGGATGGATCTGCCACATCATCAACATCCTCGCTATTTGCCTCAGACTCCGGCTGTGAGTCTCCGTCCACTTCCTCTGCTTCCAGTTCAAAAAACAGCCGTACTATCTGAACTGCCTGGTGGACATTTATCCTTCTCATCATCCTTTATATAAGCCTAATAAAAGCCTGCTAAACTGCAGAGACAACATATCTGTCCGGATCGCTCCAAAATACAAAGTTTACCGTCAATATCTGTCTAATTGTTTGTTGTTACTCCGGTCGCGCCACTCCTTTCCCTGCGAAGCGGCTCCTTTTTGCGCACATCTCTTTACTCGTGCAGCCTTCCTTTCTCTCTCTCAGCTACATAATGATGCTTTTTATCAACTGAATATGTGAGACTTCCACCAACAGCAAAAGGATCTCGTGTTTTTGTGGGTTTTTAATGTTCACAAGCACATTCCCGCTCACAGATTACTAAACCGCTGTTTTGACAAGTTATCAGATTGTCTAAAAATAGGTCATTTTTTAGTTTAGTATAACTCCGCTTTTACGTTGCCTATTAACAAAATTTAAAGACTGGGGTTCAGTTTATAATCTCCTTTTTAAAGCTGAATTGAAACCGAAACCCAGGGAGGCGGAGTCTTGCTGCTACAGCGTCCCAAATCAGACCTGTTCAAAAGACGCCTATGCTTGTCCATGGACCCCAGAGGTTTAATGTGACGTAGCCAATGAAACGGTCTATGGTTAAGATAAACATTGTCACTATTTTTAGTTAATTGATAAGTTATTGAAACAAATTGTAGATAGGAGTCCTAGCTACAAATTCTATCATAGGACATTTGTACATTTAATTTTTAATTTATTTATTTTTAATTTTGTTCCTCTGTCTGGGCCCCATCCAGCCAATCAGGCCCTAGGCACATGCCTACTTTGCCTTTGCCTTAATCCGCCTCTGGTTCAGGGCTGTGTCTAAATGTGTTTGCTGATGTCAGGAAGGGGCTAATTTACAAGAGATAGACCTCTAGATTACAAGTGATCTACATTCAGTACCTAATCAGTACAACCTTTTGTTGAGGGGTGAATATGCAGACCTTTATGTTATGTAACCATGTTCCTTATTACTGTTCGCATAGTGCTCTGCTTAAGTAGCTACTGAATACCATGCAAACAAGTAAAAACTAAAAAGTATAGTCATGGAAAGGAAAAACATCTTGGACAAGAGTTTCCAACTTCTGTAGCGTGGTTCTGCAGCATTTCTAACGCAGCAAAAGGCTTTTCTGTCCGGGCGGCTCTCCGCTCTTCCTCCCTTCCCCGCACATTCCACCAGGGAGGCTGCTAAAGAAACTTTTAAAAATAACCTTTTTAAGTAGAGTTGTTTTTTTCCCCAAAGGACAGGTAGAGACACACCAACACCAATATCAGCTTTCTGGTGAAACAACAATTCACCACATTTTGTGGTAAAGCAACAAAAAATAAATTTGAAGCACATCGTATTTTTAGCTTTTTAACATTTCTGTGTTTTATTCTTTGTTGTTCATATATAACATATAATGCAGGCCTAAAAACAAGACGAAAAAGACATTTTAAATGAGAGTTACATTGAAATGACATCCATAATTCCATATAGCACTTACTAGCTAATGCCTTCATGTTATCTGTGTTGGTTTGTGTTCTTATGTGTTTCTGCACAAAATAATTATTTTCCTAAAAAAACAATCAACTGTGTACATTTTTAGGATTGCAAACATTATTGACATGTTTAAACCATCATTTCCCTTAAAAGTAAAACATTTAAAAGAGCTAACATTAGCTTCTTTGAATTAAAGTAACAATGGCAAGTAGGAGTTAGCGTTAACGGATTTCTGTAATGACATGTGGACCTTTATTTGTCAAAGTTGTGATCCACTGATTCCCATTTTTATTAGACACACCCTTATCACACCCTAAAGTTGTTTTCCTTGAGTTTAATTCAGATATTTTCCACACAACAAACAAGGGAATTTAAAAAATGCTCTACTCAGTATGTCATCTTGTCACAGGAGCAGAAATCTATGGGGTCCAAATGTATAGCATTGAAAACTTGAGTAACCATGAGAACTGATTTGTTTCTCCCAGACAGTTTGTGAGGTGGTGTGTGATGGAATAAAATGTTAAAAACAAAAAATTTGGCAAAGACTCACTCTGCTTGTTTTCTTTAAAGGGGGCACATCATGGAAAATCCACTCTTTGGAGCTTTGCAACGCGTAATATTGTTGTTTTCACATGAACAATACCCCCAAACGATTTTGTTTGCATTTATGCATTTTCCTGTTTCAACTGCAAATTTTGACTTATTTTGAAATTCCTGAAACAACCTAATGTAAAAGTTGTATCTCACTCCATCTTCCTGCTCCCAACATCAGGCCCTGCTCCTCTCCCTGAAGCTAGTCTCTACTCTGTCTCCCCTGGTCAGCTTAGGATATGTGGCATAGGTGACAAAGGTTATATGACAGACTTGGTAGTCTAGTGGTAAGGCTGGCATGTAGTTTTGTGCAGGTTCACATCCTGTTCTCTGAAGTAACTTTTTTCTTCCTTTTTAGCTGCACTTGCAAGTGTCATATTATCAATCTTTTATTGGTAAACTCTTTAAATATAAGGATTATTGTGTTTTTTGTTGTTGTTGTTGTTGTTTTTACTTTCTTTGTTCATTTAGCAAGTGTGACTCCATGTGAGGTGAGCAGAGTAAAGCAACTAAAATGCTGCTTTGAAATGACCAAATTCAAAAACCTTTATCCATTCATCCATCCATTTTCAGCTGCTTATCCAGAGTCGGGTCATGGGGGAAGCAGCCAAAGCTGAGAGGCTCAGACATCCCTCTCCCCAGCCACATAAACTGGCTCCTCCAGGGGAATCCCAAGGCGTTCCCCGGCCAGCCGAGAGACATAGTTCCTCCGCTGTGTCCTGGGTCTTCCCTTGGGTCTCCTCCCAGTTGGATCTGCCTGGAAAACCTCACCAGGAATGTGTCCAGGAGGCATCCTAATCAGATGCCCGGACCACCTCAACAGACTCCTCTTGACATGGAGGAGCAGCAGGTCTACTCCTAGCCCCTCCCGGATGACCAAGCTTCTCATCTTATCTCTAAGGGAGAGCCTAGACACCCTGCGGAGTAAACAAATTTTGGCCACTTGTATCTACAGTCCCGTTCTTTCGGTCACTACCCAAAGCTCGTGAACATAGGTGAGGGTAGGAATGCAAATCGACCAGTTAATTGAGAGCTTCCGGCTCAGATCTCTCTTCACCACGACACACCGGTACAACGCCCGCATCACTGCAGATGCAGCACCATTCCACCTGTCGATCTCGTGCTCCAGCTTTTCCTCACTCAAGATCAAACCCCGAGATACTTAAACTCCTCCACTTGAGGCAGGACCTCATTCCTGACCTGGAGAAGGCATCCTGCCCTTTTCCAATTCTCGAATTTAGAGAAGCTAATTCTCATCAAAAATTTAAAAACCTTTACAGAAACAAATTATTTTGCAGAAAATAATCAATAAAACTTCTATTTAGACATGAAATTTGCTTCAGGTGGCTAAATAATTTCTTACCGACACCACAGGGAGTCGAACCAATGCCAGCACTTGACAAAACCTTCACTACTGGACTACCATAGCCAATACAGCAACCAACCTGCCTAAGACACCGTTGTAGGCATGTTATGTCGGAGCGGCCATTTTCAGAGTTTCACTGAAATGAAGTGTTTTATTTCCCGCTTTAAATTCAGGCTGACCAAAAAAAAGTCGTATTCAAGATAAATCACATCTCAATAGTGGCAACGGTAATGTGTTATATACTGTGCCTACCGTTGTTCGCAAAGGTTTATACATGATACAAAACTTTGGTCAAAAGTTGAAGTTGATGCCAGGGCGCTGTAGCAAGAGTGGATCTGCTCAGAGCTGCTTAATGCCAAAACATGCTCCAAAGTCCGAGCTGATCTCTAATATAGCCGTAAATCTGCACGTCGTCATCTAATTCATGCCAGGCATTTTGTATTGCTGCAATAAGAACACTGGTGTTCACGTTCCCCATGGCGCCATTGTTTTTATGCGTTCAGTGCAAAACCCTTTTTTTTGACAATAGCCATTTTTCTCACCACTGCTTTAATGTGTTTTATGTAAACCAAGAAGATTCTGACAGTTTCACCAGAGAGATGAAAAAATAAAAAAGTTCTACAATATATCAAAAGTATTCATGAACAGAAATACATTTCTAAATGATCACATTCTACATGTATAAAACAGAATGCTAATATTTGGATGTTCCTGTTTCCTATTAATTTTGTCGATGACACTGTTTGGTCCAACGCAATAGTACAAAAAACATAAAATACTGGACAGTAGGGTGCAGTACAAAGTACTGGTCATAGCACCTTGTTGAGAACGGACAGCAAGGCACAATAATACATTTGTGCCAGCTTGTCTTATTTGATCAGTGTTACAGAAGTTGAGCTTTCCCCCCATCTTGCTTTTAGCTGTTTCATGGTTGTGACCAAAAACAAGATAAGTGCCAAAGGTTTTAGTCCAACTGTGATGTTGTTCTGGGTCGTTCTGTTTTCTTGGCATGCCTTGTTTCTTCTGTAACTGTGACATTGACCCATCCTGAACTCTCACAACAACCCAACCACCCTGTTCAAAGGCATTGATTAAATAATATAAACCTTAAATAAGTGTAAACTGTCTTGTAAATAATCAGGTCCTAGATTACAAAGCAATAACATGAATGTCTGACAATACCGTCTTAAGGTTTCCTTTAAATAAAGCATCACAGTTTAAATGTATATGTCCATACCTCAGAATTCCCTCCTCAATTGTTTCCTCCCTCTGGTGTGTTCATTAATGTAAATGTTTGTGCATGCTTGTAGAGAATATGTGTTTGAAGGATATAGGGTCTGAAGCTCAGTTTTGGCCCTTGAAACAGTACACTCCATACAGCTTGTGCTTTTTGTTAGGAAAGCCATTGAACCTCACAGCAGCTTCAGTGGGACTGCAGCGTCGTTTGGGATTGGAGATGGGATAACGCACGCTCCCGTCTGCCAACCAGCCAGGATCACAGCGGTCATAGCCCTTCAGCTTCCATGCAACAAACATCTGGCCGACCTTGGCGATCTCTGCACCATCTTTTTGACAAGCACTGACAGCTTCATCATAGGTCAGTTTTGATGGGTGGATCAGGTAGTAGAACCGACCTAGGAATGGGATGAGAACAAAGACATTAGAACACATCATGCATCCATTGCCTTGAAGGTCAAATTTACTCCTATTTTAATATATATATATATGTGTGTGTGTGTGTGTGTGTGTGTGTGTGTGTGTGTGTGTGTGTGTGTGTGTGTGTGTGTGTGTGTGTGTGTGTGTGTGTGTGTCGTGCTTTGGGGGAAAAGCTCCAGTGCTTCTACTCGAGGACGTAGAAGTCAGCTGGAGGAGAAAGTAGCTTCAGATGGCAAGATCTGGAGTCTTACTTCAAGATTTTTGGACATCTTGTCTCTGATTGGATAACATCAACACGACTCTACCACTCACTCTGTTTGCTTTGCAACACTGATGTTTTATCTTCATCAATAACACAAGCCTGGAGGAGTTCTGTCGTTTTGTGGAGTTGCTAATGCTAACTGTTAGCTTCTAATGGTTGAGATGTTCTCTGCTGTTTCCTGGCTACTAAACCAAGAACAACCTTCCCCATCGCAATTCATGAGTGAGTCAAGCGTTTTTCCATTTATTTTCTATCAGATTTTAGTGCAGGAGGTAGGGTAACAAGACTATTTTCATGTTCTGTCTGCAAGTTAAACTCAGAGTGACGGATTGTTTTCAAAAATAATGAGTAAAAAATGGTTTCTCACAGCAGAAGATGAATTTGAGTCTAACGTACATACAGGTGACAACCAACACGTCAGAAGATCCCTCTACCAGCACCACATTGCATCTGTTACAAAATCAAACAGCTACTAGTGCACCTGAAGGACAAAACAAACCCAAACTAACAATGCAACGTAATCTATAAAATACCATGCCTGTCATGCAACAAGTGTTACACAGGAGAGACCGGAAGACTGCTGCACACCTGAATGACTGCATGGAGAAAAGCAAAGTTCTGATGATGACATCAAAAGAAAATGGCCAACAGCAAAATTCTGGAGTCAGCAATAACGGACCACTGCATGTGATGGACTGGAACAACAAAGATCATAGGGAAAGAAACCGACTGACACAGAAGATGGATAAGGAAGTCTATAAAAATCAGGGCACGTGAGAAATAAACTACCAACAGGGACAAAGGAGATTACGGACTCTCAAGAACCTGGGACACCCTCCTCACTACCACCAAGAGCATATGGCAGTGCCCGTGGACATGACATCTCCACTTGCCACTCCTACATGATGCACTCTATGAATACCGGATATTAGCCATGTCTTCAATCTATCAGATGACAGCCCATGAAGAGGGCCTCAGTGAGAAGCTGAAACTGTTGGTAAAGAGATTTACACCTATTCTCTTACTAATACCCCTAGTGTGTAGAAGAAACTTTTACTCCACAAGACCACTGACCAGTCTCCAAAGGGGGATGCCCAGAAGTAATCATTCCTTTTGAACAGCAGTCATGGGAAAAGTAAGTACACTCTTTGATCATTTTAAATTTGTTATAGATCGGGACATAAAATGTTTGTTGGTGTAGGTCAGCACATAACATATTAATGTGACACCTCAACGCAAAGCAATCACCCCTACTACAGACCAGATCTGCAACAGAATGAATAAAGAAGAAAAGAACCACCCTTTGGGCCCTCTGCCTTTTGCTGCTACACCTGCTTGTCCCCAGTTAGAGGACACACGGGCTCTAAGGGTTAGGGAAAAAAAAGACAACAACAATGACCTAAAATCCAACAACAACAATGTCACAGAATTTTTATGTCATTTCGTGCTAAAGTAGGTTTTAAAATATCTTAAATCACTGAGTGTATTTAGTTTTGCTCGTGGAGATTTGGCATTTTTTATCATATGTTGTTTATCTATAAAATTTTGGTTTAAACAATCAGTCAAATCAAATTTAAAGGTGTCTTTAGGTTGAAACCATGATGAAAGGAAAAACCTTGGGGCTGAGCGCAAATTCCAACTTCCTCAGAATTTTGTAGTCAGGACAGGAAAAGAAAAAAAAATCACTGAAAGTTTGAAAAACAATTAAAATCACTAAAATAAACACAAAAATAAAAGAAGGCAAAGAGACTATTCCTCACCATTGTAGTGGGAGCTGAAGCAGAACGCATCGTAGTGGTTCTTGTCCTTGTCTCGTAGCCCGTAGGTTCGGACGCCAGGCGCCATGTTCTTGCCACCACAGGGTTCCCTGGGGGTAGTAATAGGATACCGGACTGAGCCATCACTCAGCCAACCGGCGTTGCACCAGTTCATTCCTTCTTGAAATGCTTCATACAGCTGGTCAGCAGATGCCAGAATTGCATCCTGTTCCCGGCATGCCCGATCGGCATCATAAAAGTTTAGGTTGTATCTTCCCAAACGAGGGAAATAGGGGAAGACAACACCTGCATGGAAAGATCAAAAACAGGAAAACCAGATTTGTCAAATGAGCTGCAGTTAGCAGATAAATTTATATCCATCCTGTGAGGTTTGTGTCAACTTGTTTTATTGAAGCTGAAGACTGGCATCCAGTCTCGCTGAGTTGGCACAGCTGTTTCCCAGTCAGCCTTGGACCAGCATTGCTAGCCTCGGGCATTAAAGCATGGCGTCTCTGACTCTCAAACATAATGAAACTGCCCTGACACTAATGCGCACTATGCTTACAGAACACGGTTGTTGCTGGCATTCCCCCAAGCACTATTTGCCCCTAGAGCTAAATTTAGCCTGCAGCTGGCTTTGCTACAGTAACACTTTATTAAAGTTGTATAGTTGGTTCACGGTGTCATTCACTCATGCTTAAAAAGCTCAAATATAAATGTTCTACCCTCAAGGTCGAGAGACACGACTGCTGTTCCATCTTCCAGTCCATCAATTACTTCACATTTGTAGCTCCCATAATCGTCCAGTCTTAATTCTGTGATGACCAGAGAAGCATCCGTCGGAGAGGAGCCTTGTAAGTGGACACGTCTATGGAAACTCCCGTAACTCCTTTTGTGGTGTTCCATGGCAACAAAGACATCCAGCTGGAGAAGAGGAAAAGCAAAGTGACAAAGTGACGGTACCGTAACTGTACCGTACTGTTTTATTTGTATAGCACATTTTAAATCTAGCATGAGATCTGTCCAAAGTGCTGCACAGGCGAATTCAACTAACTAGAAACGACAAAACAAAGAGAAAAAACACTAAAAGCATAGATAAAACAGCAAAATTGAAGGAGATACAAAGAAAAACACTATACAAACTATGCTAGCTTCTACTAGCTGAGACGTTCTCTGCTGGGCCGGCCCTACAATGGCTCTGCTCCTACCTTCAGGGCAAGTGCTTTTGAGTTAGGATGGGTGAAGCTTCAGCAGCCTGGGTGACACTCTGCTGGGGTGTGCCACAGTGCTCAGTCCCTTGCCCAAGGGCACAAGAGCAAGACGTGTTCTTGATCCCCCAGGGATCATGTATTCTCGGATCTGCTCTAACGCTCTGTAATGAGTTGCCTTTAACCATTAGGTACCATCACTTCAGGTCTTTAAGTGTCACTTCAAAACTCAATTTTATGTGATGGTGTTTCAGTGACAGAGATCTTAACATTGCCTTGTTCTGTTCTTGTTTTTATCTTGTTTAACATATTTTATAATAGTGTTTTGTTTTTCCATCTTTCTTTTAATGTTACACGACACTATCATGTGATTTCTGATTGTGTTCAGCACCTTGGGGTTCTGCTAAGGTTGTGGAAGGTGCTTTATAAATGAATAAATGAAATGAACCAATGCATGCTGTTTCCTGGATGTTAAATAAACAAAGCCTTCCCCGTCGCGAGTCAAGATGGGTGAGTCCGTGACTGTTAAGGGACAGTGTGACGTAGATCTGCCAGGATTTTCAAATCCTAGAGTTTCACCAGCTATTTTTTATCAGAAGCTAATGCAGGAGATAGGTGTAGGAGACTATTTTCATGTTCAGAGTGACCGATTATAATCAGAATAAAATATTTAAAAAATGGTTTTCAGTGTTCTACGCCTTTAATGCAAAATACCAGTGAGTGATAAAACAATTGTAAAGGGTACAATAGCCCTTATAAATGATTGGATAAAATGTTACCTCTTTGAGGTAATCTGAAGTCAGCTTTGTCCATTTGATCCTCATCTTGTGGTTGGGAGCCAGTGATTGGTCCCTCTGGATCTTGCATGGTAAAGTCACATTTCCCCCTCTTCTCGACACCACCTTAGATTGTTCTGCCACCACTGAGAGTCGGGGCCCGTCTTCTGCAAAACAGCAACATAACCACAACCAGGGAGCAGTTCAGAAGAAATGAAATTGAGTAAAACTCACAGCTTCCTGCAATTTTACTTAGATTTTTGACAGTAAACGGAGAATGTTCTCCAGCTCTGCCCTTGTTCTAATAACAACATGCCTGGGTGAGCAGAGCTCTGTAGCGCTGGATTCATGAAGCTATAAATTTGTCTAAAGGAAAAAGCTCATCCACTCTTCTCAAAGGCAGCACAGCCAAGTTTCTGATGAGATAAAGTTGTGGAATCAGCTGTGGAACTTATTGTATATAAAAGGCAATGCTATACACTTTCTAACATCCAATGTCAAAGTGGTATATGTGGTCAAAGTATTGCTAATAATCATTTAAGGCTGTCTGCTGTGTCCTGCTCTTTCTGTGGCTCAGCACTGGTGAGAAACAGATTTGATGACTTGGCCACAAACCAATAAAACATTCTGCAATGAAAGGATGACACATGAACCCTAGCTGTGCAACATCTGATCAGTGTCATGAACATCTGATCCCATTCTAACGGAGGAGCTGCTACTCATTGCATTCATGAGTCAGTACAGGTGAAGAGCTGCATGGTGTTAATGGTTAGCAATGTGGCTGAAAGCAAAAAATAGCAACTTTGGTCTGAAATTAAGCCTTTCTGTGAGGAATGGTTCACCCCTAAATGTAGGCTTTGTCCATATGCTCTGCTTCAGTGTGTTTTATGTAAAAATGCAAATATGTAGATGATTGCCAACCCAGTGTTTACAGTTTCCTGAAGCTCCATTTGGTAAAAAAGCTTTTACAGCATTCAGGATTGATGAGCTAATGGTTAGTAGCTTGTAGATGGTAAATTGCCTGTATTTGATATAGCGCCTTCTAGAGTCCTGGAACCCCCCAAAGCGCTTTACAACACAATCAGTCATTCACCCATTCACACACACATTCACACACTGGTGGGGATGAGCTACAATGTAGCCACAGCTGCCCTGGGGCGCACTGACAGAGGCGAGGCTGCCGAGCACTGGCGCCACCGGTCCCTCTGACCACCACCAGCAGGCAATGTGGGTTAAGTGTCTTGCCCAAGGACACAACGACAGCGACAGACTGAGCGGGTCTCGAACCTGCGACCTTCCGATTGCGAGGCGAGCACTTAACTCCTGTGCCACCGTCGCCCCACAGATAACCACAGAATTCCAACTCTTTGAGCAGAAGTAGCAGATAGACCAGCAAATGTTTCTGGATAACTAAAACCTGTACGCGTGTGCAAACACACAAACATACATCGCTAGGGATTGTCCTCTGGCCTGGTTTTAGTTACTCAGAACCCCTTCATACTAAAGAATGTGCCATGGTTTAAAGGAACATAAACAATGTGGTTTTGCAGGGTGTTGATGAGGTATTTGAGTATATATTAAGAGAGTAGTGCTGTCTCGATTACAAGTGTCAGAGTGCGATAGCACCATGATGTTTTGAGGTCTTCTGTGCCATATTTGAAGCAGGATTAGTGTTAGGCCTAAGTTGGAACACCATCATGTCCACGCCATGCTGGTGATTCAGTCAAGTTTTCACAAAGTTCTCAACATGCATCTGTAACAAATAACCCACCCTACACGTGCCTCTAAATACTGTGCCACACTCAGGTGTCTACCAATAGACTGTATGACACAGAGTAGGAAGAACCTGTTTTCACCATGGTTAGGACTGCTGTTGAGAGTGAATGAAGGATGGCCATGGATGACATCCAGCTGTAAAAACCCTTACCTGCATCTTGTAATGTTGCTGAGAGACGTTTCCACGTGAGATAAATAAAGAGGTGTTCTTTCATTTCCACCAAGGTTCAAGTCTACCACAAATTGGAACTTGCTTAATTCTATGGATTGAAGGAACCAACTGAAACCCGCCCACGCAGATGATCCAAACGCCTTGAGGAGTTAAACCTTAAGATCAGACCACCTCCTGTCTTTCTTTGTGGACAAAGGCATTAATGTTTGATCTAGCATCATTCTTTCAGCCTTATCGCTGCCTCTTCTGGCTCCAATTCTTAGTAATGCTCCTGAGATGGAAGAAGGAAGAGTGAACAAGAGAACTGACATGAGAATCCAGGGTGAGAGCTCGGTCAAAGGTCACACCAAGATTCCTGACAGAGGGTTTGGTGTGAGAAGCAAGCTGACCAAGAGAGTCTCTGACCATTCTAGTTTTAAAGTACAACGATAGTGGCACCATGCTGTGGCCCTCTTGCTTTGTACAAAGTGGCTGGGTTAACAAATAAGGACGACCACCTCTATATTCTTCATGTACTTGAACTCACCAGCTAGATGAAACTTGGGGCACAGTTGGGTGTTCTGGTAGGATCATGACCCCAAACACGCATCGTAACTGGTTCCTGATTGAATAAATAAGCCTACCATTAAGCTTTTAAAATGGCTCTCCCAAAAAACTTTAAACTAAAACAAATTGATCATGTGTGAATTTTGGTCAGAGGCCAAGTTAGTATCATGAATAAACTAACTGAAATAAATCTCACAAACTCTGAAAAGATGCATATTTGCACATATGTCTATATAATTTTGATCTTGTGTGGAGAGAAAATCCACATTAAATTCCTCCAATTATTCTTTTAAAAATCATTGAAGATGTCAATCTTCATAAGACTAAAACCATTGACAAGCAACACACATCTGTGTGATTGTAGACTTCTGAATGCAGCTGGGATGACTGGGACCAGAGTTCTGTATCAAAAACTCGATATTGCTAAGTTTTATCAGTAAGTACAGAACCTTCAGAGAGATAGCCCTATCTCACCGAGCTAACGATCCCACACGTGTTATCTCTGGGTACCCCAATACAGCAGAATGCACTGATAAACCGATTAAACAAGCAAAACAGCTGGAAATGGTCTCCAGCAAATATTTAAAATGACTTATACAGTTGTCAGAGAAACACAGAGCACACACTTACCTATGACGTAGATGGTTCTGGAGTGCTCTAGATCAGGGTACAGGATATCTAAGTCATGTTGTGCAACACTCAAGGAGACCAACGCACATATCAGCACAGGAATCATCTTCGCTCACAACACCAGGGGTCTGATTGCTGCAGAAACACACAGATTCAAGGTGGAAGGCACTTTAGTGTGTCTTCAAAAAGATTAGGTTCAAGAAAGTTTCGCTCTGTAACAGCATTTGAAGAAAAAGCTCATGTACAAGCATGGTCTGCATGCAGCTCGGCGATAGTGTTTCCCTCTGCAGTGCTGCTTCTTCACCCGAAAGCTCCGCAACTACTACAGGAGTACAGGACACCCTGTCTGCCCATCACAGAGCACATGTAAGAGCAAACCCACAAAGTAAAAATTTCAGAACGTCTCTGCAGAGTTGACTCAGAAGATGAGAGATAAATCAGCTTCCATGCGCAAGACTCTGCAAGAAGCCTCAGCCTCCAGAAACAAGCTCTGGCATAAACATACATACTGTACAGGAGATAGTCTTCCATTCAGCAGTGTGAAAACGCAGAATAACCTAACCACAGCAGCAGTCCACAACTTCAGAGGCAGCCTGCCTCGGTGCAGCATCAGCTGCTCACCACCGCCACCTCTCAGCCTCTCTCACATGTACTTTAACCTCCATGTGCATAAACATCATCAGCTGAGTCTGATTTTAATGTGAGAGTAAGTCGTAGTGATTCAGCAGCTCTTTGTAGTATGCTGATTGTAAAACTACATTTGTCACCTTTAGCTCCTCATAGCAGAAACATAAGCATGAATCCAGACAAGTCCTAGTTAAGGCTGAATAACCATAAAATCAAATCTATGTTCATGAAATTAAATCTAAATATTTTTAAACAAATCTGAACAGATAGTCAAACTTTTAAACAGATGTTGAAATTTAAACTAAATATGCATCAATACATATTTAAACTAAATATGTATTGATGCATTTTCAGACCACTGTAAAACAGATATAGCTTATCATAACATTAAAGTAGAAAACATTAGATAGATCGTTTTACCCAGCTTTCATTTGAGTTCTGTTTTACAGGAATCTGAATTTGAATGTTGGCTAAAAATGTAACTAAAAACTGTAATTCACATTTATATTTAAACGTTTACATGTAACTTTAAATATAAGGAGTTAATTTGTAAAAACAACTTTAAAGGTTTAATTGAAAGCAACTGGACACAGAATGGGCAAAAGATATTTTGTAAAATATCCCCATATTTTTTAGGGTTTTACATTCAGTGCATGATTCAGTTAGATGACTTAAATGTGCTCTGCAGAGTAACTGACCTGCCCTTCAGAGGTTTATAATTAGCAAATATATTTGTCTAAAACAACTTATTATTCATGTTATTACAGCATGTATTTGGCTATCAAAGGTTCCATAACATTAGCCGTCTTTGACTTCAGCAAACTGGTTGTCTTACAACTCGTGTTCAAGCGTAGCTCTGTCTGTGTGTGTGTGTGTGTGTGTGTGTGTGTGTGTGTGTGTGTGTGTGTGTGTGTGTTTGTTAGTTTGTTTGTTTGTGTGTGTGTGTGTGTTTGTGTGTGTGTGTGCGTGTGTGTGTGTGTGTGTGTGTGTGTGTGTGTGTGTGTGTGTGTGTGTGTGTGTGCACTCACACAGTAAAAGTCATTCAGATTGATCCACTCACTTTTCTTATCTTCATTCATTCCATCACAAACTGCTGATGCACTGGACCCCCTTGCCAGGTGGAGGTCCTGTAGTCAGCAGAATTACTGCTGCCCCCCCCCCCCCCCCCCCCCCCCCCTCTCTCACACACACACACACACACACACACACTACTCAATACCCCTCCCTTCCTGCCAACCTTCATTGTGAGAACGGGACAATTACATGTAGGGAGCGAAGTGGCGTGTCCTTTTAAACATCTTAGGTGTGTTCTTGCTGTGTTGGAATTCTAATTCCATCTTTTAGTTCTTTTTAAAACACAGAAAGCTTTTATTTACCTGCAAGGTGTTTAATGAGAATAAAGGAGACTGAAAGATACAGCATGAAAAGAGCTAGAGCGGGGGAGGGGGAGGCGGGGGAGGCTGAAAGGACTCTGCAGCAGCAGAAATGATGCAGAGGAATGAAGTTTCAAGCTTCAATGCCACCATGCTAACAAAATCGAACAGAAGAGATTTTCAGTCAGGTTCATCAGGACAGATCAAGCTTTTCAGAGAGCAGCCTCAGAGACTGACAAAAATAAGTGTAAATATATCACATTACAGATGAAATACAGATGGAATTACTGACAAAATGCCATGACTGTCACATTTAATAAAGTCAGTAAGATTTTAGTTTGTGTGCTTGTCCTGTCAGAAGCTGATTTTAGCAGTTTTAACAACTTTTTGTATCTTTTACGAACAATTCTTCTATTTTTCAAACAATTTATTTAATCACTTTTAATGTTTGTCAAACAAAACTGTTACCTCAATACTTTTATTAAATACAGCTGGGAAATAATACTTCAATTACCTGGTTGTTTCAGAAAAAACACTACTTAAAGGTTACAAAAACATTTTAACATGACTCAGTGAAATAGTTATTCAAACCACTGCTGTCAAAATTCTGCATCTTTGTAAGGAGCCAGTCCACCTGGTCAGATCCTTCCTCGACTGCTAAGACCAGAAGTGAGATGGTCAAGCCTTCATAGTTATATTCTGTTATATTTTCATTAATCATCAAGAGCTTTCATTAGAGACCGAAAGAATAAATCACTGATCACAAGACGATGACTAACAAGCGGTCAAAATGACTTTTCTCCGCAGGGTGGTTGGGAGGGGCTTGGAGTAGATCTGCTGCTCCTCCATATCTAGAGGATGCCCCAGTGAGGGACTACAGGTATGTCTCTTGGATGGCCAGGGAACGCCTTAGGATTCCCCAGGAGAAGCTGGCCCAAGTGGCTGGGGGCAGGGAAGTTTGGGCTCCTCTGCTTAAGCCCGATTTATAATTCTCTTATACTTGTACTCCTTCACTCACGGGTGAATAAAAGTTCATGTTTTCAGACTTTTTCTGCGATTCATTTTTCAATCTATTCTGGATCTGCCGCAAATTATCTCTTTACTTTTTAATGGGGCAACGGCGGTGCTGGTGATGAATTTACAGTAAGCAGTGTCCTGACCAATCACAAGCTTGTGTGTCCCCATCACTTTTGACAGATGTTTAAAATTTTGGGCATGTCTCTGTCACCTTCTGTGAGCCCATCGGAGAACCCTTCCACCGACGCCTAATGGCGATGCATGTCTCCGCATCGATGCAGACGGAGAAGTATAAATCAGCCTTAAGGCTACTGTGCCTGCCACCTGACCTCGTATAAGAGGAAGAAAATGGATGGATGGATCAGAATCAGAATCAGAATAGGTTTATTGCCATTGTCAGTGAACAAACAATTCACAAACTAGGAACTTGTTTCGGTACTAATGTGCTACATATAACATGAATAATAAATTTCAAAAATAGAATAAGTAGAATAAAATATAATAAAACTAGCATAAAACATTCAGCTATAAAAAAAGGCAGGTAATGGTAACATGGCCGATAACGTGACGTTATGTCAAGTACAGCAGACGAACATGGTTGTGTATTTATAAGCTATTCACAAGTCTAACGGCAGATGGAAAGAAGCTGTTCTTAAGGCGGAAGGTTCTGGTCTGGATGGACCGTAACCTCCTGCCTGAGGGAAGCGGCTCGAAAAGTCTGTGTCCCAGGTGCGAAGGGTCAGCTGCTATCCGGCCTGCACGCCCCTGAGTTCTGGAGACGTACAGGTCCTGGAGAGATGGAAGTCTGCAGCCAATCACCTTCTCAGCGGAGCACACAATGCACTGCAGTCTATGTTTGTTCCTCACCGTGGCTCCAGCGTACCACACAGCGATGGAGGAGGTGAGGATGGACTCGATGATGGCCGTGTAAAACTGCACCATCAACTGGGCCGGCAGCTTGGCCTTTTTCAACTGCCGCAGAAAGTACATCCTCTGCTGGGCCTTTTTGATCAGGGAGCTGATGGATGGCTCCCACCTAAGGTCATGTGTGATGGTGGTTCTGAGGAAGTGGAAGGAGTCCACAGTGGTGACGGGGGTGTCCGTCAGGACGAGGGGGAGAGATGGGGCTGTGACTTTCCTGAAGTCCACAATCATCACCACTGTCTTCTGAGCATTGAGCTCCAGGTTGTTGCTGCTGCATCAGTAGACCAGCCGTTCCACCTCCCTCCTGTAGGCGGACTCATCATCGTCAGAGATGAGCCCGATGAGGGTGGTGTCATCTGCAAACTTGATCAGTTTAACGGAGTCATGGCTCGAGGTGCAGCAGTTTGTGTACAGGGAGAAGAGCAGAGGAGAAAGTACACAGCCCTGTGGGGATCCTGTGCTAATTGTCTGAATGGTGGAAACATTCTTCCCCAGCCGCACGCACTGCCTACAGTCTGTCAGGAAGTCAGTGATCCACCTGCAGGTTGAATTGGGTACGTTGAGCATGGAGAGCTTGTGCTGGAGCAGAGCAGGGAGGATGGTGTTGAACGCAGAGCTGAAGTCCACAAACAGGATCCTAGCGTAGGTTCCCGGGGAGTCCAGGTGCTGCAGGATGATGTGGAGGGCCAGGTTGATGGCATCGTCTACAGACCTATTAGCTCTGTATGCGAACTGCAGAGGGTCCGGGAGGGGGGAGGTGAAGGACTTGAGATGAGGGAGGACCAGGCGCTCAAAAGACTTCATGACTATAGACATCAGCACCACAGGCCTGTAATCATTCAGTCCAGTGACACTGGGTTTCTTTGGGACAGGGACATTGGTGGACAGCTTAAAGCAGGCTGGAACATGGCAGGACTCCAAGGAGATGGTAAGAATGGTCCGTGAAGATTGGAGACAGTTCCTCTGCGCAGTGTCTCAGGGTTGCGGGGAGACACCATCTGGGCCCGGGGATTTCCGTGTGTTTTGCTTACGGAAAACCCTGAGCACATCCTCTTTTGTCACTGAGAAGGCAGTGGAGGGGGAGGGGTGGTCAGTGGCGACTGTACTATTCACAGTGGTGAAGGTGGTGGGGGAGGCATGTGACACCAGAGTGGCTGAAGAAACCTGTGCAGTAGGGGGTGTGGGCGATGGGTG